GCAGGCAAGAAAGAGGAAAAGGGCTCCGGACAGAGAGAGAAGTCATACACGGGTGAACATCGGGCAAGCTTTTTCCGAATGGCGAGAGCTAAAATAAAAAGAAGGCTGCAAGGCTGACGCGGACCTCGCGTTTCTGCTGATGCGATTGTAAGTAACATTGGAATGGTTTCTCTCTCTCTGTGTGCATGTTCATACTTTCACTGTGTTAGTCATTCGTTGTGTTCGCCTGTCTGCTAAGCACAAAACAACCGCGCCTGGCTTGACGGAGAAACCAGGAGAACAGCTGTGCATATTTACGACAGTGCACTTTTACTTTCGCCCTCTGGGGGGAGCCTCGCTGGAAAATCAACACCAGTTGCATAGTATACCTTTAACTCCCACCTCAGGGAGAGCTTGGAACACATTCAGTGGGGGGCATTAAGTCTGATGTTCCATGCCTCTATTGTTGAGGCGGCTAGTCGGAACTGTGGCTGCAAGGTTGTCGGTGCATGTCACGGTGGCAACCCTTGAACACGCTGGTGGACACCAGCTGTGATGGAAGCTGTCAAGCTGAAGAAAGAGTCCTATTGGGCTTTATTGACCTGTGGGACAAATCGGCAGGTCAGCTGGGTACCGAGGCAACAACTTGGGCATGGGAAGAGTTCGGAAAGGCCGTGGACATTATGTGTCGGTGGGCAGAGTACTTCGAAGACCTCCTTCATCCCACCAACATGCATGCATTTTCATCTTTTTAATCAAACATGTTAAAATTACTGTGCAGTTTAAACACTCTTATATCGAAAACAAAACACATTAAGGATGGGTACAGATGTAGAAGTATTTAAACAAGTCAGTAAAACAAAATTAGGATTAGAGGAAGATAAGAATTGGAAACTAAGTGTGTATATATGTTAACCCATTTGATTCTGTTGTATAGTGTTTCATAATATAATCCCTGATAGAAAAAAGGTTAAATCATAAACAATATTTACAGATTTGAGTTCACCAAGTCCTTCCTTACATCAGCCACAGTTCATTTATTGAACATTGGGTTTGTAATAATAGTCAAGCCTGTAGTCCAGAGCTGACACCTTCAGAAATGTTGTGGAGTAGAAAATAGAACCAAGAGTAGCAATTTGAGAGAACAGCAGTTAGTCAACATGAGTTGGTTTTTTTATGTGTTTTATATATAAAGCCAGGTTCAGAACAAACTGTACAAGTGCTAGTGAAGCAGGTACAAGAAACCCTAATAGTTTTGATGCTGCTTTTTTAACACATTTGAAATAAACATCTAATTGTATCTGGAAGGAAATAGGTTATTTCAAGAAGGAGAGTTAATAAAAGGAAATCAGTGCTTCACAAATATGTTTTTTCTGATAACTTCTTTCAGAGAACTGAACGTGTTGCTTGCTCTACAGTAGTCTAGTCAGTCTCAGCTGGTGGGATCATCAAAGCATCATTTTCCAGGTCAGAGGGCAGGTAGATGTTAAAGACGGGTTAGGAATCAGAAAACCAAGAGCTGATGCTTCACAGAGATAAACATACCTGTGGGGCAATTTATGGAAAGGCTTTTCTCTTCTTTCCAATGTAATAAATCATTTACTTCTTTTTTCAGTCCCACTTCTAGTCATATAAACAACAGTTTAGCGAATGTCCTGTAAACACTAACTGTATGTACAGCACCTCGCAAATGTGTTCATACACCTTGAAATCTTTTCTTTGCTAAACCAACATGAACTGTTGCTTAACTGTTAAACAGAAGGAAACTGATACAATGCATTAAGATATATATATATATATATATATATATATATATATAAACACTCTTCAAGTTTGGGGGTCACTGCCCTGAGGGCCCAAATGACCACGGGTAGCACTGATGTCTTGACCTTCCAGGTTTTCTCCAGCTCTTCTCTGAGCCCCTGGTGTGTGTATGTGTATATATATATATATATATATATAGAAATCTATAAAGAAATATATAAAGAAATCAAGCAGCCCATAAACAATGGTTATCTTGATGGAGGGAGCAACAATGCAGTTCCTTCATCTGATCTCAAAGTATGGCTGCACAATGCAAAGCTGGCAACATATGCACACATCAGCAGATGCTGATAAAAGGATAAAATGTTAATTTATGGCAAAGGTATTGCCAGGCCGATGTATCGTTTCATCTCTAGTCCTGATAGTGTTTAATTAGTACTTTTTGGGGCCCCTAATGAATTTTTTCACCAGAAGCAATCAGCAGAAAAAAAAATGTTAGAAGGGTTTGCCAACCGCAGTAGTTATTGCATCGATGCACTTGGCAGCTATTGAGGCTTTTGCTCAGGCTTCAATAAACTCAAAAGTTCATAGTGTATTTCAAGCACTTGGGTCTCAGGTTTTATCCATCTTGGCATGCAATACATTTGCTCTTCACCCATCCTTCCCTCCGTTCACAACTCCACTAGAGTACTATTGATTGCCCCGCTCCATTACTTTGTTTACTCATATCTAACCTTTAGTCCAAGATCTTTTTATGTTAAATAGAAAATGTTCTCGAGGCTAAACTTTTCGCAGAATAGAAATCATAAAGCCAGAAAGTAATGCACTAGCTTAGATCAAATCAAGAACGTGTTAAAATGGCCCAGTCAAAGCGCAGACCTCAACCCAGTAGAGAATTTATGAATGTCTAAAACTAATGAACATGGATGGAAGCCATAAATCCAATTTCTCCGAGTTTGTGCCGTTTTGACAAACACATACACACCCAAACACATTGTGGTCACCACATGAAAAAGAAGCATGAATACTTGCGATGTGTAGGAACTGGAAGTACCTGTTACTTTAAAACAAAACTGTTAATTCTCATAAAATCCTGTCTGTAGCTGCCTTAGGCAAATAAACTTAAATAAGACTCTTGATTCACTTGGCATATTGAAGACTGTAGAGGGAGGAACACACAATGTTGATATCCAGAAAAAAAAAAAAAAAAGGCTACCCTTATGTCGCAGTAACAGGTTTGAAGCTTTGATCTTTATCTTTTACAGCATGACTCAGGATGAGAGCATGCTGACTCAGACTACAATACAAAGATCTTTTTAGCTCTTTGTGACGCCCACACATGGAAAACATGACGCCCATTGGGAAAAATACACTTTCATCCAACTGTGAAAAGGTTTTCTGTTGACATATTTACCCCTATAATCTTATCTTCCGGTAGTTAGAAACACACCTCAGCTACAAATCAAGTGCATCAAGGTGGAAGATTTTGACTTCTACAAGGTCACAGAGAACAAGACAAACTCCCTCCTGAACTCTTGTACTACCAGTTCTCCGCCTGTTATGCTGTAACTTAAATCTGTAACTCAACAAAGCGGTTAAACTTCAATGAGAGCGATGAGTAACAAAGGGAATGCAAATCTTGCCTCACTTGGCACAGATTTCCTAGAGACTGCCATTCATCCTTTTCAAAGCAGGCTCCAGTGATGCATTTCTATTTCTTCAATATTGTTGGAGGCACAGAGGATTACCGATGCACCAACCATGCCCTTTCAGACAAAAATAAGCAATTGTCACTTCAACTGACAGATTAACATTAATAACTTAATTGTGGATAATAGAAACACACGTCTAACATTTTTGAAAACAAAAAGATTTGGGCATTGTTCTTTAAACCTCCGAATGCCATTACCCAAGTTAACCAGCAGAGGGAGGGCTTTGATCCAGCTCCTGCATTGCATGAAGTCGTGACCTAGTGAGGCTTTTAGTGAGTCATTTCTCAGTACCACGGTGTCCTGCGCCTTCCACGTGGTGGTGAGTCACCCTCCACTGGGGAAAGAACATGTAGGACAGCCTCTGACTGACATACCTGATGAGCAAATACCATCTAAGAAATGCTAGTCATGAAGACAATTTTAAAAATGCTGCCACAAAGGAACAGGCTCTCAGTCTCATACCAAGTTTTTAAATTACCTTTTGATATGTGGTTGAATAGAAGGCCATTCCTCAACAGGAAAAGAAAAGACATAACTCACAAGAATGCTTTTCATTTCAATTTATTTATCTTTAAAGAACCAATACGAATTGGGGGATGTTTTCAAAATGGGTACAATGATAAAAAAACTGACCATTTTCCATTCTCCACCACGTGTCAGACCATACTCTGGGCTCTGGGTATGTGAGCTGAAATCTGCATATTCGTTTGGGAAATCCTTTAGCGCCATCCCCTGATTTGGTAAAGTGAATGACAGCTGGAGGAGTACCAGCTGAAGCAGCTCTTACTTCCCCTCTGAAATGTCTGCAAGTGTGTGTTTGATGTTCAGCAGGTTCTGATGGGCGTATTTGAGGTGGACTGATTATTGCACTCCAACAAGACTTAGAAGGGAAAAAAAAAAATAAACACATAAAAGTTGAATGACAAAGTGTCCTTGCCCCTGCCAAACTCAACACTGCCACACTTCTCTTGCGAATAAATATGATATATTCAGCCTCTGTGAATCTCTAAACTGAAAGTGACTTGAAGCACGTGAAGAGCCAAAAACTAAAAAAAAAAAACATTACTGCATTTTCAGGTGAACCTTTTGAGTTTTGTGCAAAAACAAAAACACAATCACAATGTGTTCAAAGTTTAAAAATGTTTTTTTAAAGGCCTAATAACAATTAAAGGAAATAAAAACAGAATCAAACATTTCATTAGCATGTATGTGTGGAAAAAAAATAAAGATTCACATGATGGAAGGTAATATCCCATGATTACAACTTGAGTTTAAAAGAAAAAGAAAGTACAGGATGGACTTGAGAGGAAAAAAAAAAAAAAACAAAAAAAACAGATGAAATTCTGGCCCGTGGTTTGGTTGAGCTGTAGAACCGGGAGGCGGGCCCCATCTGTGTGCTTTGACCTTCCATTCATTGGTTCGGCTGGTGGATTTCCCCAGATCTAAATTCATTTTGTTTGATCGTTCGATTTCTCTCAGATCAATTAACCATGACTCAGTGTTTACAAATCATCACAACAATTACTGATAGCACTCATTTTTTTATGTTAAAAATCTTCTTTGTTGGAAGATTCCAAACTATGTGCATTACAAGCAGATGCACAGACGGGCAGCCTACTGCACGCAGCAGTTGTGGCCGTTCTCTTTGAACCGCAGACGCATTTTGGGTCTGTATTTCTCGAGGTAAAGAAGCTGTTTGGAGTTGAAGGCTCCACGTCTCTTCCTACAAAAAAAACAACAAAACAGGAAGGTTTAGTTTATAATCCAGAAAGTAACACATTCAAAGCTCTGAAGACAATGATTACCGTTTTTAAAGTAATCCACTTTGCTTATTGATTATTTCTGACTGGCAAGGAAAACAGCAAAACAAACTGTCTACAAATTATTAACTCAGTCAGCACAGGTATAACCATGTGAAATTGAATTTCTTTTCAACCACACACTAATTTAAAAGGACAGCTTTAACATTTTGGAGGAAGTGTTTTCTTTTTAATAAATTTAATATCTTTTAATATCTAATCTACAGCACACAATGCATCTTTAAAACTTATTTTTGACTTGGCTGAACCTGACGGCTAAAGCTTGAATGAGGCTAAACCCAAGAAAACTGGTTCAGCCTTAAAAAATATCAAAATACCAATCGAAATACAGATCTATAAACTATCAAATGTAAACATGGTTTTCGCTAGAGAAGTCTTTAAATGGCACGAAAAAGCTGAACATCAGGAAATTATATGAAGCTGTGAGCTCCAAAAGAAGGTCCTGTGTGAAACCAATTGAAAAAGCATTAATCTTTACAGGGTTTCTAACAATTATTCAATGTGATCTTCCAAATTATTTTTTTATTTCATCTCTGGTATGTTTGTCAAGGGGTTTCCCACCTGAGTTACCCAATTTACAGCCTACAGGCTTCATACCAGCTTTTGACAACAGGTTTTTAGGAGTGTCTCAGATACACAGAAGAGCTATAGCATGAGAGGAAAGCTTTGATTTTATACCAGAACGATTCAATTATTTCCAAGAAAGACTAACAACTTTGTGTGTAATCCCTTTAAAAGGCGTTTTGCTTTCCTCCGTTTCTGGGTTTGTAATTTTAGCGTAGCACCAAAAACTGCTGAAAAAAAAACACACCGAACAAAAACACTGATGAATCTTAAAGCTAAACTGGTTTATTTCGAATAGAGAAAATCCAGTCAAGTCAAAGACATTTTAGGAATTTCAGTTCAAAGCATTGAAAAAATGTATCTAAGAACCTCCAGCTTTAACCGTTAAGCTTTTAAGTTTCTGTTACTTTGACCAGAAATGCCTGAAATATTTTGTGTCAAACTGTTTCATGTGGGACGTTCATTGGACGCACACCGCCTCCAACCTAAATTTCTTTTCTAAATAATCATTGGTTTCTTCTTGTAATGTTCAGTCAGTGACTGGAAAACATTTAGAAAATTGTTTTAATGTAAACCTCTATAAGGCGTTTGGGACTGTAGTTGTTTAAAATCTGTGGAAGTCAGTTTTGTTCCCTACAACTGTGGGACAATCCATTAGCTTTAGCCACCGCCTTCAGGGAAGCTGGATGGTCACTGTATTAAGAATCAAATACTCTCATCCCTTATAGGTAAACTGCGTATAATCTATCAACATACCATAAGTCTTGTGGGGGGGGAAGTGTCTAAAGCTCACAGGTACGACAGGTACTTACTGCCTTATGAACTGCACGGCATCTTCATACTTCATTCCTCCCTCAATGAGAGCTAAGGCCACCAAGACTGGAGCTCTGAAAGGTAAAAGGAATCCAACATACTGGTTAAAGCAAGAATAGTGAGAACAGGAGATGAAATACCAAGGCTGCAGGGCTCCTTAGCAATAATAAGGGGGTGAAGGTAAATCTGGGAAACAGGCCTGGGAAATCTACAGGGGTGTTGGAGTTCACAGGTGCCCTGCTGAGGTGCTGTACTCATGCTCTGTGATAAGTTACAGTGAAACGGACTCCTCCTTTGTCACCAGAGGGAACACAGAATGAGTAAAAGTAAATAAATACAGCAGCTCCCTGGACCACTTAACAGATCAGGTATCAGCGCTAACAGAGCTACTTTTCTAGCTCAAAAACTTTAAAGAGAAGCAGTGTTGGAGAAATAAGTGTGGTAAAGAGTGTTAGGTGAGAAGATATGACTACAGACGAACCAAGAAGAGCTCAGTAAGGAAACTTTAGCAAGAAAAAGAAAAGAAAAACTGGTGAATTCAGAAATGACCAGTCTAAACTATACTTGGAAAAACCTCTGGAATGTCACAGCAAGGCAAGAAACCCGCTAAGGGTGGGCCTCTACTTTGTCAGCGAAGACACTTTCACACAAGTTTCCTCACATCATCTGCTCCTGCCTGCATCGTTTTCACACTCGTGTTATTCAGTACGACTTTACTGTAGTTCTCCGTCACCCTGAGGTGTGATTACAACAGGCCATAACTTCACATTACGCTTGCAGCCTCTTTCATGACACGACAATCGTATAAACATTTAATTGCATTAATTTGTAGTGAGAGAAGAGAAGTACGTGTTGCAACCAAGGATTATCTAATCGGTTGACTTTATTTACTAAGCAGGGGGAACAGTAGGGAGAAAACGGTTCGAGTTACGAGCTGAAACTGTGCAGGGACAAAACAATCAGCTCAATGTGTGTCATGTCTGGCAAGGGTGAAGCAGGTGGCGAAGGGGTGAACATGAAGCAGGAGGATGGCCCGATGAAAAGGAGATCAGGGTAAAACGGACTTCTCAGATTCTTTACCATTCTGTTTCCTGCAGCAGAGTGCATGAACTCTGTAACCTTATTAAAGTGGAGTCACTGTGTTACAGGGGATGGAGATGAGCCCCGACTGACCAGAGCAGTCGATACTAAACATAAATGCTTTTTAATGCTTTTCTTTCTGAATATAAAACTTGAGGGAAATGAAAACAGACAGAACTTTGACTCAAATGTAAACTGCGTCATAAACTAAAACATTTGTTTTGTTGTGATTTGACATGTAGTGAGGGAACCTTGGAAAGAACAGGACTTGTATTTATTTACATAAAAATGCGAAGAGCGGCATTAACATTTGTATCCTGCCCACCTTACTGTGATGCCCCTAAAGAAGATACTGTGAAATTAGTTGCTTCTTAAATAAAAAAAACTCATTTTGGGCTGGGTGATTAATTATATTTTCAGTTTATGGCCATTAAATTCATGATTGATGATTCAATTTCATGATGTTTAAATTTTCAGACTTAGAGCAGTTCATCACTTTGTTCTTAAATATTTACTTATAACTATTGAACTGGCTAATTGATTGCTGCTACAAGCTGATAATATTTAGTGTTTTTCATTGTTTGTAGTGAAACATGATTACCTTACAAGCATGTTTAACAGCTTGAATTTTAAATCAAGGTCACCTCCAGGTGGGGTGATTCAAATCCAAGCTATTTTTCTAAAGCAATATATGATGATTGTCATTTGTATTATGAAATTTAAATGACAAAACAAAATCTATGAATTGGATCTGGTAGCAGAGCCCAATCCAAGACCCAACAGGAAATCTGAGACAAGATGTAGAGACCGATGTTCACAGATCCACATTCAGATAAACAAAGCTGATTTAAATATTGGCAAAAACTGAAGCCATACTGTTCTGAAAAGTTGGTTTACAAATTAATGTCTCAGAGACATGAATGAAGACCTACAAATGCCACACTTCAGATTTTCATTTGTAAAATCCTTCTCCCAAAATGCTCTATTTAACACCAAGTCTATTGTTTGATGAGTGCAATTTTGGTACATGATTAAAAACAATAAGTGCAAGGAGAGGTACTTTAGTTTTGGAATCAAAAGTGAAACATGCATACCTGCCCAGCCCTGCCACACAGTGTACAGCGACGCAGCAGCCAGGTTGCTCTCGAAACTTTGTGTTAAGCAGCTTGAGCCAGTCGTCTACGATCTGCGTGGGAGGAGGGGCGCCATCGTCAAATGGCCAGTCCTGGATTCAAGATGTGGAAATTAATCAATATGAACCACAGTGGAAGACAGAGGGGTGAACAATACAGACGAATGCTAATACAGGTAGTGATGTTACTTTTGCAATCACTTGCATGGCTGTGAAACATTAATGTAACAGTTTAAAGCTGGACAAATCGGAAATTAACCCTTAAAGCCACTAGTTACTAGAGATGCTTACCACGACTTGTATGCCCTCTTTTTCCACTGGAGCCTTATCATAGGTGGCATCACAAACTCTCACCAAAGTGTTGACCTCAAACTTTTTCAGTTCCTGGAAGAAATTGAATAATGATTTCATGTCAGAGGGCCTTAAAGCAGATGTGAACACATTAGATAACAGATAATGCTTCACCTCAGTAAACTTGTTGAGTGTAGCATTGGTGGGATTGTGCGTGATAAGGAACCTCATGGCCTCATGTTTAATCTCGACTGCAGCAGGGCGGTTCATGTTGGCGAGACGGCTTTAAAAAAACAATTACAATACAATACTCTTATAAAACAAAAAAAAAGCAACTTTTGGCTCAGATGTACAGACTGCTAGGAGGTGTATGTGATCAGGGGAGGGTAAAATAAATAAAAAGGACAAGATGTGAAGTACAATGGTCGGGAGAACAAATCTTCACTGCAGGATGATTCACATAGAAAAGAGCAACAAAAAGAAAACTAGTCCACAGTATTCTGGGATGTGGAAAAAAAGTAAAATAAAACAAAAACAATGGGGAAAAAAAAAAAAAAGATGAGACTATCCAGAAGTCATCCAATGAGTTTACCCCATTCAGGAGAGCTGTTTGTGATTGGCTGTTCAAGGAGAAAGTTGAAAGCAAATATTTTTCGTATTGGTTGGGACAGGGCAGGGAAGGCAGGCCAAGGACTACGCAGTATCCCAGAGGGGAGGGGGGGCGGCGGCCTTTTGGAAGAGTCAGCAGTTCCTAATGTGCTGGCAGTCAGGGGGGTTTCTGGGTAGCGTAGTCCCTCGGGGGTCGGCCGATTCACTTCTCCGCTGAGGTGAGGTGCTGTGCCTGGCAGAATTCTCCGGTCACACACGCCATATAGGTACGGCTGAAGTCAACACAGAAAGCCTGGGAAGAGAGGAAAAGATGGGATTTCATTTATAACAATATATGACAGATCTTTAGATTAATAGAAAAAGTGTATATTTCTCACAGAACGGATATAAAGTCATCCTGCGCCAGACGTTGCAAAATAAAGCTGAAAAAATATTTCGTCATGCATGTCTTCAAAACCAATTTAGAGACTAGTCTCCATCATGAAAATCTAAAAATAATCTATCCAAGTTTACTAAACATAAGTGTTTACACAACCAGATTCAGGAAGAAAATCTCTCACCCGCTATGCCCCATCGTATGACCATAACTAATACAGAATTAACCCATTCAAATATCATGAAGGCATTTCCTCAAGCATCAGATTATCCTTTAATTTCTGATGGAAGTAAAGGGGCGACAGTGTAGGAGGAGGGGATGTAGGAGTTTGCCCTGAAATCGAAGGATGGACGGTTCAAGCCCCGGCTCCATCTTTCAGTGTCGTTGTGTACTTGGGCAAGACACTTCACCTGCATTGTCTACTGATGGTGGTCAGAGGGCCCGGTGGTGCCAGTGTATGGCAGCCTCGCTTCTGTCAGTGAGCTCAGGGCAGCAGTGTAGCTTGCCACCATCAGTGTGTGAGTGAATGGGTGAATGACTGAATGCAATGTTAAGCACTTTGGTTAAGTCTCCTGACTTGAAAAAGTGCTATACAAGTACAGGCCATTTACCATTTAAACAGTTGTTTTACTTCTCTGTTGAGTGTGCATCTTATAGCTAAACCCAGTGAACAGCAACTGGTCCTCAGAGTGCTTAAGGCAACATCAACTTACTTAAATTAAAAGAAATCCATGGACTGAAACAAACCTTTTCATTATCCAAGGTGTTTAATGATCATTCCTGGGACAATATTGTTATTGGGCGGGGCTGGACAATAATTCAATTCGAACTGCAGCTAACGACCGTTTTGCTAATCAATTAATCTGTCAATTATTTTTACAATTGACAGCAACATTTCTTTAGAGAACAGTTTTTACAGAATTTAAAAGAGAACTCAAAACGTTCCTCTTGAGGAGCTCTTGGTAAAGCATAATGACAGACCAAGAAATCCTTTTTTTTTT